GAGATAGTTAACCGGATTTGGGAGTCCAGCTAACCAAGTTGCCAGTGATTCAACTGACACATGGTTGCAGTGGAGCCAAGTAAAATCAAGGGGAAGTATAGTGAGCCAAGATGGGATGAAGAGGATAACAGAAGCCTGGACCTCCAACCCATCGATGTATCAGTGGAGCCACTAATCAGCGGTGAGCTTTCGGGCAGGCAGATCCGGAGTGGGCAATAAAAGAGAAGGGTAAGCAGAGCATCAACGGGTGTTTGTTGATCTGACTGATACAGTCATTTGCAACTTTCAGTTATATGTTGTCTGGACCTTGTTCATATGTTCGTTGAATAGTTGTAGGGCAGCGCAGGAGCATAATCACATTGCTGACTGTAAGATATTCGTCAAGCTTTCTACGAAAGTTATACTCAGATGTGCTAGTACGAATATCGGTCGGCAATTTGTTCCAGATACGGGAGTACCGATTTAGGAAAACGTTTGCTGATATGTTTGTCTTTGACCTTCTTACCATCACAGAATTTTCTCTATTGCGTGTATTGTATCCATTTGGTTTCATGAGTGATAGATCAATGCTAGGGGTGTGGACATTTTTGTGCAGGATATTGAAAAAAGTGCTAAGTTTACTTTTAGGCGTCGAAGCCATATTGGGTCAAGCTTAAGTAGGTCGCATCGCTCAGAATAGGGTAGCACTAAGCTCGTACCAATAAGGCGCTTTGTAAACGCTCTTTGTACCTTTTCTATGGCGATAGGATCATGCTTCCTGGAATTGCTATACACCATTGAGCAATATTCAATGTATTCATTCGCAACGAGTTTGTTAACACAGTCTTTACAAGCACTGTATGAGGGTTAATTTCTCGTTTTACACGTCATGCTAAGCACTTCAGTTCGGCTACACAATAGAACGGACACTGTTAGCCCTGCCGCTCGAGACCTGCTTATACAGATTTTTTGGAATCCACACCAGCAAATAGCACGCAAACCTACAAAAACAAAAAGCCACCGACGTCTCCAACAATTACCTGCCAAACTGAGACTTCCACCGAAGAAACAACGCTTGTCACTCGATCCGGGAGACTTGTGCATCGGCCTGACCGATTTGCCACCCACTGAAACCAGAGATATAACCCTTATTCTCTTATCCTTGCCAAGATGTGCCCTCACTAGCACTAGGAAGAGCGTATTGTTGGGTCCGTTTACCACTTTCGCATAACATTCATGTTTGTGGAACTGTACTTTTCATTTGACCTAAATGGCAAAGTCTAACCTCACACCACGTGAGGTACACCACGTGATCAGAGCCGACGTAAAAGCAGCGGAAATGCTGCTACGGGTCTTCCAGAATCCTCCTAGGAGAGGCAGTGGATGTGCGGCACCATCGCAGCCACACTGTAAGCTGTCATACAATGCAAGGCATGGACTTCACCGTGGTGGCTAACTTGAACTCCTTCAACTCAGGCGGTCTTGATAATGTGCATCCAGCAATAGTCAAGCCACTGGCTGACGTTCTTCAGCAGCTTGTTATGGAAATATTCAACTTGTTACTTCAAAAAGGTGTTATTAGGAGACTAGAAGGAGACAACCATAGTCGCGATCCACAAGGGGGATGCAAATCGGAGCCTCTTAACTATGGACATGTCCGTCTAACTTGTGTCATACGCAAGTACTTAACAAAGCTTAGATGAAACCGGATTTGTGAGCACTTGGCGGGACATATCCTAATTAGAGCGAAACAGCATGGTTGCATTAACAGGAAGTGCCTCATTAACCTACAGTGCTTTCTAGATGAGATTACTCGATGTCTAGATGACGGGATTCCGCTGGATGTGTTCTATCTCGACTATATTAAGGCCTTCGACTTGGTAAGTCACCGTTTCTTACTTGAGAAATTGACATGGTTTGTTCTACTTTCCAAACTTCTATCTTGATTGTCGGAAGTCATACGTGAGAGAACATTACGAGTTAGTATCGGGGATGCGAATTCTCGTATAGGCATCGCCTACAGTGGCGTTCCCAAGCATTGCTGCGAACTGCACCACTGTTTCTCATGTTTATAAACGACTTGGACCCCTTTCTTGAAGCCCACTGATTTAGTTTTGCAGACGATTTAAAGCTGGTCAGCAGGGGCAACCGAGCAACACTGACCAAATCGATCATCAAGGGATTAACTGGTCGAGACAATGGGATTTCCATTTAAATGCCAGTAAATGCCAAGTACTGACCACTAGTAGAGAAGGGATTGTGGTGCAAATTTTCTCTGGATCTTTCTATTTACAGTGCACTAACCAGGTACGCGATTTAGGAGACCTTATGAAGAGCAAGTTTAAGCTTTCGACGCAATGTCGATATGCTGCTAACAAAGCGCGATGAGAACTGGTTTGCTTCAGGAGAGCACTGTGTAACACCAAGCCAGAGTATTTTCTGCCATTGTACAAAGTATTGGTAAGGCCACACCTGGTATTGTGTTCAGGCTTGGTCGCCTTATCTCTGTCGTGATGTTGTTTGCATGAAAAATATGAAAAAATTGGCAACCAAGATGTTTAAAGGCCAACACAAAAAGTTGCATGAAGATCGCTTAAAGAGCATAGGGTTGTTTTCCCTGGAGCGGCTTGGACTGAGAGGCGTTCTAATGGAAAGTTTTAAGGTCATGAAAGGTCTCAGTGACATCAAGCCCACCGATCAGTGTGAGTTAGCTACTTCTGATCACTGGTGTGCGTATCGTTGGAAGCGCAATCAACAGGGGCTAGGTTACACGTCGGGGCCAACATTTTCACAAACCGCGTGGTTCACAGCTGTAATTAGTTATCTTCTGAATTACTCGGCTGCGCAACTGTAGCAGCCTTCAAAGCAAGTTTGGATAAGTGATAATCGCATCATTTGTCGGAATAAGGGTAACCTTATCCAAATATATTAGCATTGTTCCTAGATACACGCAAATGCAAGAATCGCTATTTTTCTTGCTTGATTTCTTTTAGCAGAAGCAAGGAGAGGTGGTTAAAATGCGAAGTACCTTTGGTTTGCTTACCGTTACAAAAAGCTGGACGCTCGTTAGGTGGAAGGCTGTGTCTTCCTTAGACCTTGAATTGACATGACCTGACCTCAAACCAGTAACCACGTAGGCGAATCAAATCACGTGATACGCATAATTCAGTTTGCAATTTACCTCGCATCCACTCCTATAAACATTTACCGCATCAAGGCACACACAACACAACTGGAACAGCCAGACAATGGACATGTACACTACTGTTTACGTGTGCAAGACCCGACGCAGTCATCGTCGCACCCGCAAAGCAATCTGTATTGGACTCACAGCCATCAAAGAATTACACGAGATAAGTCTCTCTCGCTTGTACGTATCATTATCATCTGCACAATATTATCATTTATCTTAGTGTCTAGCGTTATGCTTTTGTAACGCATCAACGTTTAAGCGACGCTAATCCTGGTCTCCGGTTAAGTGGAAGACCAGACGTCAGCAGTTCTACGGTGCGCAATAGCCACGCTTCGTCCTTGCGCAGCCATCACTAATCACCCTTTGGCTAAGGATACTGTGAGGTTCGCCCATTCCCTACACAAACACAAGCACCTCGTCACGGATTAAAAAACAGGCTTGCGATCCTTGGAGACTTAGCCGGTACTTTTCATTTGGAACGAAACTACTGTCTGCCATTCTCTGACATCCTTATCAAGCGCAGGGATGACGCACTCATTAAGATTACCGTCTGCAATAAAGCAACTTGCTTCGCCCAACACCTTCACTTTACCAGCTTCATACCAGTGCCGTGTAAACGGACACAGCTAATCGCGTTAGACGAATTCATTTTGCAAACTGTCTTGTCAACAATCTAGCATTGAGTACAACTACACTGATGACGAATGGTTACTCAAACAGATTTATAGCGAAACACAGCCAACCTTGAGGCTGGAAGGATTTGGTGCATACGGCAGCCAATAAAAAGATCTAGATCGAGTTGGCTTTCAAGAATGACTTTATACTACTCAGTTGAATTTAAATCGTTTACAGTAGGTTCTTTAATGTTTGCTCCTACAATTACGCCTAGTGGAGGCTTTCACTATTATCCAGCCACTATATAAAGAAACTGCCTGAATATGTATAAATCCCAGGTCTTCCCGATTGCCACATAACAATCATATCACCATGTTACAAGGTTTTACCCGTTGCACACATGTCAGAGGTATGGGGTTTAATTTTTTGACTACAATGCTGAATCTGTCTTAAGTTCACTCCGTAAAATTTACCTGCATAAAATGTACTTACTATCGAACAAGTTTGCACGCCGAGTCCAAGAACGCAGTGAGTCACCCCGTGTATGTTTGAAATGAATCCCGCATTATATAATTTTATGGATTGTGTGGTCGCTATAACCGAACTCGTGACGCCAACCAAATCGCATTATCTATCTTTAACCGGTAACATGGAGGTGTTTGAGCAGCACCATAGTAGACTGCTTATTCCTTTCCATTCGGGCAGAATCCCTGGATAGATTACCACCACATATTTTTTCAATAGAGGAGCTTATACCTTTTCTCTTTAGGCACCAGTGCGTACATAGCTTCCCACCATGGGGACAGAACAGCCAGTAAAAATGTACAAAACCAAACGCATTGAACTTCAACCAATGTATTACTTATTAACAAACAAGCCTACGCGCCACAAATCGACAAATAGTCGGTTTGAAGACATTCTAAACTCCGGGGAAATCTTGTGTACAATACCGGATTGAACAGGGAGTTCTGGTAGCCCAAACAGAGAAACAGACTATCCACCACAGAGGGAACAGAACAGATTGGTGCACAGAATGGAACAGCGAGTGCCTTGACAAAAAACGGAAGCCAGCCACAAGATGAAGCTACCAGTGTTGATGGCCAGTGTGCGAACCGCCTTGTTTCCGCGACACTTTTCCATACGTTCCTTGCTGTCCTTCATCTCTTGAATGGTATTAGGCTGCGTGAGCAGTTTACCATGCGTCACATGACGTTCAAAAAATCGAAGGAACTTCCGATTGAGACGATGGGGTAACACTTTTGCCAGTGAAGTTGCTCTCGTTTATTGCGGAATGTGAGGAAGCCTTGTCATAATTCACTAGGAAACAACGAAGCTCATTCGCAGAATCTGCGCAGTTTAGAATGTTATCAGCAATTTCCAATTCACCAGTGGGATTGAGACCGCAATCATCGGTTTCGGTCCAAGCTTTCGGAAAATCGTCTGAATACTGTGTGTCGGCTGAAGACGGGTTGAAATCGGTATCTAACTTGACATCATCATTGTCCTTAGCATAAGTCTCCTGCTCCGTCAGAATGCATATAGCTGACTCGGTAGGGCAAATCTAAAAACAACAGGCACAATCAACCTGATTGTCTTAGAAGACAGTAGATTCATTGAGAGTCAAAATTGTGACACACGCTTCTTCGCCTGCTTTGAGTGTTAGCTCATGTGGATTGCAAAACTATCGCTTTCTGATTCGCGCGCTAGCTGCATGATATATCCTTGTATATGCACCGATTAGAAACCCCATGGGGAAGTAGAATGCACCCAGTGTGGAGAAAATGGTAAAACCCTATTCGTCGTTAATGCGGCATTGACCTTTGACTAACACATCGCACATGTTTCCTGAGCTGTGAAACCAAGTTGGTAACGAAATAGCCAGCGATTTGATCCACACAACAGCGATCATGCAAATGATTGGCCTCTCATTTCGGATTCGGAGATATTTCAGCCGAGTCGCAGCCCAGTAGCAATCGACCGCTATGGCAATCAGGTGTAGAACGGATGCCGTACAGCATGCAACGTCCATTAGAAGCCAAAGATCACAAAGTGCCACATCTGAAAGAAGATGTGGAAAAGAAGTATGTTAAAGCCAAATAGTTGCTAACGACAGTCGTTATCCCAACGCACGCTAGGCTTCTAAAGTCAAGCAAGATTACACGCAGTTGTGTATGGCTGCCTCGTAAAACTAGGCACTAAAACAGAGGTCGTCCATGTACATCAAATATTAACAACACAGAAGGCATTAAGGACGATAACTCGAACATATTACAGTCGTGGTGAGTATTTGTCGCGAGGTAAGTCAAACCGAGTCGAAATCTGTCTTATGCATCTGACTGGGATATTTTACAACGTTTTACACTAGCATAGTGGATGTAATGATTTATAAAATTGACCTATTATTGCAATCAAAAAGCAAAATATTCGAATGTACATGCACAACGCACAAGTAAACCTTCATGTGCGATGCTGCTAAGGTTTTTTGTGGTTCCCAAGTAAAAGGGATAAATAGGGTAAGGTAGAGTCATGAAAACATATTGTGCGGGAAAACAAAACCCGGAATTAAGTGCGGGTAGACAAACAGGAAAGATCTTTGGTAAATCATGGCGCAGGGAGTAAAATGGATCATCTAAACATTTAATGATAATTTGTCACCTTAATCAATCTGCTTAATAACGACGAAGTCAACCAAAGAGACCCTAGGCAGTCCTACATCTGCAAATGACCTTAATGGAACAAACAAGCAATGAGAAGTCCGTCTGTAAAAGACCAGGAAAATAATAGGTAAGCAACAATGCCATTTTGCAGAGATACAGGAGGGTACTAATTTCTATAACAAAAGTTAGCGTACTGCAAAGATGCTGAGTTCTATGACACAAAAGGCTAATTTTTGCAACATGCAGAATGTGCGTTGACCACCATAGACTGTGATGAATATGCAACAAGATACGTAACATTAGAGGAACCGCATATGTTGTGGTCGCTTGCGTCCATGGTGCACCAAGACCAGTTGCTGTGGTAAAATCGGGCAAGTCGAACGGAAGAAGTCCAGCTAGGAACAGTACCAAAAGTATAACACAAAGTGAATGCAAGGTGATCACGGTTGGAGGTGTGTAACAATGAGGAAAATGAAAGCAGCTCTTGACGAAGACTGTAAGCAAATTCTTGGAAGGCTAAATTGCCAATATTTAGCGAAAAAGATGTGTCGTGTCTCAAGAGGTCGAGCCCAACGTATTCTATTGGTATTGGTTGTTCCAATAAATGTCTTCGCATTGCAGTGTTTTACAGCGGATTTAAGTACATTTAGGCACCAATGGATGCACTCATATTAATGTAGTGAGTGACATTCCGATGGCAGTATGCGTAATTCGGATAACGGAGACAGTCGACATGTTACACTCCGGTGCTCCGCTTAGCTGACTTACAATACATGCGTCAACGGTGAGGGAGCCACTCATAAGGGCTCCCCAATCATCCGTATAGCTCTTATACCCAACTCTAGACAAGTACTCAGAAAAGATTCCATGCGTAATCGTCTATTACTTCTACCAACCAAGCTTTGACGATTGCGCGGAAATAACACAGGAGTTCGGTCAAAAGCACTGCACAACTTCATACCATCCTGGTATAACCATGTCGTCGTGCAGGCCTGTCCAGAACCCAGTAGGGCATAATAGGTTAATTACAATGATATCGTTAACCTACGTGTTACGAGCAGTCAAACATACCACTGCGGCGGTCACTTGCAGGACTCATTCATGCCGCCTCTTTACCAATCCACTCTGCTGCACGTCCTCATCCACCACGTTTCCGTGGACATTAGCTGTGCACCATGCGACCTGCATCCGTAGTACCTCTTGATTTCCGCAGTTATATAACATATACCGCTTCTCCTCAATCTACTCATTAGTAGTACATCACCTGCTCCCAGCTGTATGTCATGCCACGTGCGTAACAATCAAGGTAAACATACACATATAATCTGCACTTTTTGTATTTTACTTTCTCAGTGAACGTGCGTCCATAAGTCTAAGAAAACCTTCGCTCCTTTAATCTAATAAAGACAATTACTGTTAGAGTCAAAAAATTTATTCTTCTCGATCACATGGTTACCTTATTGTAGGCGCCCCAGCTACTGGTCGGTCACATCGAAACATTGGTGGTGCAAATATGTCCCTCGAAGCTCGACCCCACACTTACTTAACCCCTTCCCCAGCAACTGGGTTCGCTGTGTTTTGGACAGATTACTCTGTAGCTGAGACATGTTCCCGAGTTCAGTAGAACAACGTAATCGGAATGCATCACAGAACAAGGGGTTTGATCGGTCGCATCTCTATTCTCTTTGATTCATCTGCTTGTTCAACATGCGTCCCCAATAGTGACGAAGCACCACGTATCTTTATGGTGGTAGTTGCCTACTTTTCATGTAACTCCGTATTACCCAATACCTTTCTTTTATCCTCATTCATGCCAGAATTGCCGACCGGCCCCAGTTAATTTTAATTCTTCAATCAACTCAGTAAGACAGAGGCAAATAAACTGTTTTCATTAGGTACTTGTTCTCATAATTTGTTGGATGTTTTCACTATTAAACGATGCAAAAATGTTTGTTTTTCTTCACTTTTCACTCACAATTCCTGTTCACCAATGCATGCTTATAGCGGTTAGTCTTTTTCCCTTTCTCCAGTAACAATGGTCACCCATCGATGTCAGTGGTACATAAATATTGGTCTCCTGTGGGAAATGGTCCACAGCATTGGAGAAGAAAAGTTACAACAACGTGTGGCACATGTATCATGGTGCGTCCAACAGCTTCAATAAATCTATGGTACTTGACCTAATTAAGGCGCAACTTGCTTGCTTATTGGGGAGATAACGTAAAAAGTGTATACTAACTACTAGGTAATAAAGATCGGTCCAGTAAAGAGAGCACAAACCGCTCACTCGGACAATTTACCGAACCACTGAGTTAATTAAGTATTCACAAATCCTACGTGAATGTTGTTGTGCAAATGCTAGGTCAGGTATCATTCTTTGGTTTACAGATTCATTTTGTATCACTAGGAGAGGTTTAGTGTTGTGAGTGTATCCGCTCTCATTGATGGGTCACCAGGCACGTCCAGCACAATGGTTAAGGCGAGAGGAGAAGAGCAGTTTTAAAGAAGCTGTTTGGATCCGTTGTCCTAGTGGATTGTAATACTCTTGCAGTAATTCCTGGAAAAATGGTAATTATTACATGTACGGTATCTACAGAACCACAGCCATGCATAAGGGCTTCACCAATGCGCCGTGAGGATCTGTCAAATTTCCACATACCAAGATGACATGTACATCACTAAGATCAGTGACTTACAAGTGATATAAGTGGTAATTTAATTAGGCTTAATTATAAAGCAGTTGTGGCTGAAGCCACAAGTAAATGAAATGTGCAGGAACGGTGGTAAGCTAGACCACACATTCAAGTCATTTACAGTGGCAATGTATGCGAGTGATAACACATGTATAGAAAAGTTTAATAACGATGCAAGTGGAGTGTTTTTAGTTACAGGATTAAGAACTGTGTCAGTTGTGCATATGGGCACGTAGTGGTCGTATAGAAAAGGGCCGCAGAAGATAAGATTTATCGTTTTAATTAAAGCGCTGGGTACCGGATGAGCGAGGAGTGTTTGAGCACGGTTTAATTTTTAATGTATGGCTGATCAATTTATCTAGAAAATTTTCGTGATGCTAAATTAGAAACTGTGCTTTTGTTCTGTGTGGTTTGGTAAAGTTACATCGAGTATCTCTAAGGAGAGGATGAGCTGAGGTAATATTCCTCGATTAGCCAAAATGTAGACGCCATGAATTTACTTTAAATGAACTCAAGCACAAAAAGGGAAAAAAGAAGATGTTTACACAAACCAACTATGAGCAATTACAGCGGATATTTCTTGTTGACTTCTGTGTAAGGAAAAGCACCAGGGAAAAATCTGCCTGTGGTCCATTTTTTTAATTTGCCACATTTTCACTGTTGCTGGAATGTCGATATCACTTGCGTTGCTACTGACTTTAGTGTATGCAGTACGTGGCCGCTACGGTTACTGTAACACAGTTACCGCATAGCACCGTTGTGTTCCCAATCATTCCTGTATTCTAAGCCACTTCAAATATATTGATTGGCTTTGTTTAATTCGATGTCTGGAATGAGCATGTGGACTGCATGTCGTCTAGTTCTGGGTGTCTGCTCTACTGTTAACATAACATTACCGTTAGTCTGTCATAAATGCTAAATAGTTTAAAGAATGAATGTTCACTGATGTTTTTTTGTTGAACATCCAAGCAACAATTCACTAAATCAACGCCGTGATATTTAGGACCGTGCACAATTTATGGTAATTGTTTTTCTTTATCATCATCAATAGTATAATTCCGAGAGTCGACATAATGCAATTTTTCCTCCGTGCAGTACTATTTCACTGTTATTCTGCTTTCGGTTCTTACGAAATTCCTCCTCCTGCTCTTTCTCCTCAGAAAACACATTTAACTTACACTCATTCGCCTGCATTAAAAGAGTGACAGAAAAATTGCCACCAGAGTGAACTTTGGAGCGCACTAGATGAGCGATTTGGTTGACCTAGCCTAAGCAATGAGAAAGGCCTGGGGCAATTTCGGTCGCTCAGAGAAGGATTTCCACCCTAGCCTTGACATATGCTGTGAAGGCATTTTTCTAGTTTCAAACGTCTTCTAGATTGGAAGGAAAATATTACCATTTGTACTAATGCATTTCTGAAGCCGTAATAATACACCGAAATGTTATTCAGGCGACCGACCTTCGTCCTAAATACATCGCACTGGGAAGGTCATAGTTACAAAAAACGGTCGTTTAGTAAAGTTAAATCGATCAAAAACGCTGACTGAAAGTTCGATTTTCTCCAACAGAAAAGGCTCTTATATAAGGACCTGTGTTGTTAAAAATACACTATAATCCTTAATGATACCTTTAAACATATTACTACCTACCTTTTCTTAATTTCCATGTCTAACTAACGAAGTGTTTCAAAAATCACGCCCAGAAGGAATGACTGGCCGTTCATCTGTGCAGACAAGGCGGAAAAGCCAGGGTGTTTTATAATCTGAGCCCTCATGTATAGCAATGTTTTCTACGGATCACGGTTCCAGAAATTCTAGTCTTTTTAATCCATCTTGTCTAAATCATGCATTAAAACTTGTCACCCTTAATTTACTCAACTAATGGTGTCATTCTGTTTTTTAAGACAAATTAGGAGCCGTTTGACTCACCCAAGTTTGCTCACATACAATGGTTTCCAAAACATCTACTTAACTATTGTTGATCCGTTGTTTTCCAATCATTCACATTCAGGTTTGCGCTCATGTAGCTTGTTTTCCAAGTTAATCGGCAAGTCGCTTCCAGTGAGCAATCAGCCGACCAATCTGTCTCCATAGTCGTGTGCGTGCGTGGGGAGACACAACCAACCTGGGACCGGCACTGCCTCAGTGTTGCCACTGAAGTTACGGTGACACTCAAAATATGCACGTGCGCAAAATAGTGCAGCCAGCGTATAAGTATAATGCGACGCGAAAGGTGACCTTCGGAGAAATGCGGTTTAGCCCTTATGTGTGGGATAGCGTGTTTATATTTTATTGGATCTTCCATCCTATGTGCACAGATTATCCGTCCAATAAGGGCAGCAGAACAACAAAATAGTCGGAGTACTTTTGCATTGTCGAAGCGTTCGAGGTATTCCACTTGATAACAATTTATGTGTGCCCATGAAAATTGCAATAGGTAGACTGAGAAAATCAAGAGTTTATTGAATATCGAGATTGCACCCTCCGAAGTGAGTGTGGCCCTGTTCGTACATAAACAAACCAAATCAAGCTCCGACTCTATGCGGAGGCGACAAATCAGATGCTTCAACTGCATGGCATTGTGCGTCACTAAAGCTTTTTACCACCTTCAATCACGAAGGTAGAGAAGAATCAAGCGTATCTGCCCCAACGTCTTTCACCGGTGCTTCCCATATTAATACAGTGGCAATGCTGCCAGACCCGAGGTAGGTACACCCCAGCATCGAGGACATCAGCGCCTCATGCGCATCGGATTTGTAGTGTACCGGCAAACAAGCTCTTTCAGTATTTTGTAACATTGGATTTTACGGTTGTTTTAACCTTCGAAACGTCCACTTGTTTTACTGACAGCACATCCGTGGACACAAAACGTTTTGGTGAGTACCTCGCTGCACCTTTCTCACTCTGTCTGATTCGCTTCCTATTCTTGTAGCCGGTACAATATACGTTGGGTTCAGTCGCCTCCGACTCCTATACCGTCGTATTTGACACGTCTTACTTGTCATTGCTTACAGACTAGCATCCCAGGCTCCGCGCAACAATTGGTGACCCCCTGCCAGGAACACGCCGTCATTCTGGTGAGCTTGTTCCGATGATTTTGTGATTCCATACTCGCTATTGTTTTGTTTTCTTACTTGCCGCATATGCTTATTCATTGCTCATGATGAATAATCCTGATGATAAACCATCTACGTACGTGGTACGGGAGCATGACCCGTTGTTATGGTTTGCGCAATTAGCATCCACTTTTTACAATTGTAAAATTTCATCTGATGATGCTAAATATCATCAACTTATGTCCCGGCTTCCGCAAAGTATATCCT